TGGTAGACTTCCAAAATCATCCTATTCAACAAAATGTAATTCCTTAGTTTTAATTTATCTCATCAGGAAGAAATCTGTAGTTAAAACTATTTAATTTGAATTTGATTTCTGTAATTGGAAAGGGTAGTAATAATGAACAAAAAGTTTGAGAAAAAAATGCTTTAAGGGATTGTACAGGTATACTACAATCCAGGACTGTTGTGTTCTATGTGCTATGTATAGTCAATATTAGTAGCTATTTGTTGCAAGATACTTGGAGCCAAATAACATTTGTAGTATACATTCCTGGCTACTGTTTATTGTAATTTCATTCTGTCTGTCATGGGCAGTATTAGAAAAGACACTGATTTTCAGTATCTGGTTTTCAAACACTGTCATTATTTTACCTGGATTGTAGTGGAGGATTTAGCATATCGATGCATGCAATGGAAAGAAAAGAATTTTGTTAAAATTTGTAAATGTTCATATAAATCCCAGATACACTGTGGGATGAGTATCTCAGGGTAGGTAAAAAAAAATTACTGAAATTTTTCCCTAACAGTAGCTTTGTTTGATATTTAACAATAAGTATAGGTGATATACTTGAAATTTATTTCCAGAATGTCATTGGAATATTACAATGAGCATAAATAATCAAGCTTAGGACTAACTGAAAGATGCTATCTCATGTATGCTTTAAATAGATAACAAGTTGATTTCTTTTCAAAATAAAGCTATTTTTCCTTATCCATGTTTATTCTGTAAATGGCAAATAATATATCTTTAAATGCTTATAAACTACTGTAATAATGAAAAATGTGAACTCGAAAATAAGAAATTAATTGCGCTTTTGGGGCCACTGAGTAGTGACAGGGGTCCTGGAGGCAGAATTCAGCTGTCAGAAGTTCTAGTCTTCCCTTTATCGTTCTACCTAAAGACCCTGAACAAGTTATCACCAAATTCGGCTTCACTTGTTTCCATCTTTTAAAAGGAAAGGCTTAGTTTATTTCTAAGTTTCCTTCCTTTCTAGCAGTCAGTATTTCTTCTAATGAGTTTTTTTTTTCTATAATTAGAAAGATTGTAATTAGACTTTTTAAATTTTTATTTCATTGTTTCTAAAATGTGCCAGTGTTTCTGATTTGATATGATGATTAAAAATAATCATCCAAATGTGGCACCATAAAAATTAAAAAGAAAATTTAAAGAAGTTATATGACGCAAGAAAATCTTACAAATGAGCAGAAGACTTGTTTAATATTCACATACAGGCAAACATTCGTAATCTAAAGGACACCTAAAAATAGATGTAAGGGAGCTGTGGTTTTCTTTGCTGGCCACTATTTATCACATCATCAGAGGAAAGATCTGAATGGCTGAGTGACCAAATGTTTTGTCAGAGTCTGGTATTTGGAATACTGAGGTAGTAAAAACTTCAACAGAACCATGAGTAGCAATCTCAAATCAACTTCTGAGTTTGTTGAACTCTAAACTGAAATCAAGTATTATTTCCCCACCAATGTTCATACCCAAAAATAACTTTCAATACACATACATGTTTAGTGAAAGTTTGAATGAAAATAATTTATAATAATTATTTTGTAACAAATCAGCATAAAATGGAAAGTCAAACTGCCTCTCTGGATATAATAATGTTGACTGAATGTTAGAAATACATGGATAGCTTTTTAAAAACTGCATTTTTGGAGTAACAGTCCCTTACATCTTTGCAAGATTTGAGCACAAGAAGACAATCGTGAGAGTTGGTTCTAGATTGGTGCAAGACTGGAATACACTTGACTGTTTTTGTTAAAGCCTGGAGGGCATACCAAGTAATTCACACAGTATGATCTTATTGCCACCCTTGAAAATCCCTGGGCATGGTCCAGTCCACATAGAATGAATTCAGAAAGATGTCTCTTGTTGGTCTCTAGAACTATCCTCAGAAATAATAGTAAAATAGTGGTCATGAGTGCTGACTCCTCACTAGGCTACTTCATGTACATTGTCTTGTTTACTCTCTACAGCAACTGTATGAGATGTGTATAACTATTAAATTGTACAGATGGGAAAATCGAAATTTAGGGAGATTAAATACAATGCTTGCCCTACATTACATTAAGAGACAGAGCAATACATGAACCCAGGTTTGATCCTCAAAAATCATACTTTTAATTACTTGATACATAATGTCTTCCAATATTAAATCGAGACTGGGGCAAATTCTCAGCCCAAAACCATACTTCAATTTAGCAACAGTATCATGCTAGGACAGAAGAGATTAAAGGGTACACAGGCTGTATCCTTAAGTAATTCATAATTTAGCCAAATATATTAAAACAAATAGCTGTAATATAAAACTTACCTAGAAGAGTAAAATAGAAATCCAAGAATAATAGGAGTCCTAAAGCATAGGGTCTGCTCCTCATGGAAGCCAAATTGATCAGTAAGCAGGCCTACTCTTTCTTCGTATTCTGGTTTAAATGTTCACCTTAACTACTTCGTAAATTTCCCTCACTGGTGCTGAAGTAACCAAATGGATAAAGAGTAATGAAAAGTCATCTTTGAGTAAACTTAGTGGAAAATGGGATATCTGGGCCTGTAGGGAAGTTGGGTCATTACTTACAATGACAACTGGAAAAGTACACAGACTGCTTGACAACCAGTCAACCAGTTTCTTGTACCACGTACCTGTTGACAGACTCTCAGAAAACAAGGGGTTTTTGGTTTTTTTGTTTTTTTTTTTTTCTTTTTCTTTTTTTTTTTTACCTTTTTTGGTACTTTGGTAGTGGTATTTCCTTGGTAAAGATCAAAGTTTAATAAAGCTTAACAAAGTTTAATAAAGAAAAGAAATAAATTACTATCTAAATGTATTAAAAGCAATCACCAAGTTTAATCAATTAAAAATAAATATTCTCTTAATGTAACAGAAATGTCAGTGGTTCCTTACAATTCTCAGCAGCTAAATTCCGTAAGTATAACATTTAATGTCCTTTTGGTACATTAAATGTTCAATGCCTTTGATGAAGAGAACAAACTTAATTTCATTCATGTGTAGCACATATAAAGATGACATAAGTAAATTCACATGTTAATCCGTAACTGGATGGAGTCCTGTATTAAATGAAGTGGTAAAATATACCCCTCTCAAAGGCTATTCATGAATGATTAAGCATAACCTTCAACTGAGGCCTGAATACTCACGTCAGTAGGGTTTTTGTTAACGTTTTTATGCCACGTTTAGGATGGTTGTGATAGAGTGGAAGATATGCTAGCTTGAAATCAGAAAACTCAACAGTCTGAGACTTGCATCGTAGTCAATTTAATTTCACTTTCTGGACCTCTGTTTATTCAACTATTTAAATGGAAATAATAAAACTTGTGTTACAAGGATTATCACAGTAGTATGAGAGTGCACTTGGAAGCGCCTGACATATCCCAGATCTTTTGAGGAGATTGTCAAGCCAGGGAATGTGTCACTGAAACAAGATCAAATATCCAAGGGTTAAATAGTAATTCTGTAGGACAGAAACTCAATAGTTTTAAATATAGTTAAGGGGTTTTTTTGTTTGTTTTCGTTAATCATGAAAACATTTAAGGACGCTTGAGTTAACTGGAGATAAAGCAGCAGCACCAGGAGAAATGGAGAGAAGATCCTAATAAGGTCAGAGAAGCCTTTTATAAGTGTCTGGCTTGAACTGAATGCCCAGAAATGGAAGCCCAAGGAAACTGTGAGAGGATGAGGGAAATTACACAGTGTCACCACTACTCACAGGGCATTATAGCCTGAGCAGACTAAAATAATACGTCTTAGGTTACCAGAGAATGGGAGAACCTCTTAACTGGTTTGGAGGTCCACATAAAGAATTAGGGTCTAGAATTAAGGAAGAAAAAGCAGTACAAAGAAATTATGCAGGGATATAGCAGTGATCAAATTGGTTGGTAAAGGAAACCTATAAGATGCCTAATAAAGTAATTTAATGACTAATTTTATTAGACTAAACAGAACGGAAACCATGCTAACCTGTAACAAATATGTGGCACCAGCCTATTAGAGTGAATGCTATTGGTTAGACTAAAGCAGATAATAAACCAAGTGTAGGAAAAAGGACATTTTCTGATTATGTCCCGAACAGGCCTAGAAAAGGTATAATGAGGCTTGAAACAGGTGGTTGACAATGCAGAAATCAATCACTGAATTGAAATGGTAAAATGAACATTGTTAGGGGAATTTAGGATTAAGATGGATGGAGAGCTGCAAAAGAAAACCTAGCTAATACTTAAAATTCTCCAGCCCTAGAAAAATCTACTCAGCAAGAAATTGCAAGTAATAATCACACAAAGAGTCAGCATCTATTTAACTGTATGTTTAATTAATTTTCTAACTCAAATGAGAAATTTGGGGCCATTTATGTCAAATTTTTGCTTAGATGGCTACAAATACTTGGCAGTTCATTTTCACAGATTTTGCAGCATCCCTAAATTCCTCTCTACTATAGAGAATGCATTGGTATTTATCCAATAAACCTTAATGACAGCATAACTATCATTACTGGTCATTGAAATTGTGATACCTGGTATCACTTGTTTCTAGACATTTTATTTCATATTTTCCTGGTGTAAGAAAAGAATATAAGTAGCACTCAGAATACACAATAATTCTTCCAAAGATCTATCTTAAGCTCATTGAAAATTAGACCTCAGAAGGCACAGTTAATATAAATGTAATGAACAAGGATGGTGCATAGATAAGTTTTCCACTGAAAACAGTATTTTAAGTGATACTATATGGTGTTTCAATTACCACCAAAAACTGCACTGGTTATATAGAAAAAATAATGCTCATGAGTATGCAGTTGCAGTTAGGCTCCTTATTTACCATTTTCAAACGAAGAATCTTGAGAGGTTTGATGTCTACTGCCTTTTTTTTTTTCTTAACTTTCAGTATGATAGTTACTGGTATCATTTGATAACTTCAATGATTTCCCAACCTTAAAATTAATCTAGACAACACAGAATTTTTTATTTTTTTTATTTTTTGGTGAAAACAAGAAATACAGTAGTGACATTTTATTTTTCCTTCAAGCACATGTGAGAAGACAAAAGTACTAATGATCATCATTGAATTTGACAGAGAAATTCTACTAGTACTTACACTGTTTAGGAACATAAATGTCAAGTACATTACTAGGGCAAGAAATATCAAGACAACAGAGTTATATTTTTCTTTTTGAGGTTACTTTCACAAGACATAACAACAATTTGTAAAATATTCAGACTATTCAAAGATCACATTCAAATTATATTTCTAAGAATAGAGCCATATATGAACAGAGAGCAGAACAAGCTAATATATTAACGAATATTCACTGAAGTCTTTATACTGCACAGGACACAAATTTGGTATATTTTTGCACTTGTCAATTAAAAGCAAAAAGCAGGCCTGTAAACATTAATTTTGTCATAGGCTGAAATGGAGAAAGGAAATGGATTTTACTCAAAAACAATGACATAAGGAGCATATACCATTAATCTTCCACACATATAAAGGTCACTCCTAGGATAATCGAGAGAAAGCATCCAGAGTTACATTTCTGTTTACAAAAATCTACTTGTGAATTCAAGGACTTATGAAAAATTGGAGGAAATCCCTCCAAGCATACTATTTAAACCCCAGCCCCTCTTCCCTGGAAAGCACCTCAGGGGCCTCCCCTCCCACCCCTGATCCTGCAGGGTCTTTCCTGTGGGCCTTTCCAAACCCACTTCACAGCAGGCTCATATCTGCTTCTGGACTTTTACTCAGTTTCCCAACCTAGACTAACCTCTCCACTGTGTGTGTTCAGACCTCCTAAACCCTCAGGGAGCTTAGGGCAAGGCCTTCAAAACCGAAGGGGAAAAAGGTGATGGTGGACGGTCTTTACCGCCACACATCCTCATAACTAAGACAGCCCTGACAGCATCACTGTCTCACCTACTGGAACTTGTCCCTGAAAATCCACACAGACGCTACACATTCCCTTATCCCATACAAGAAGGCTGAAGACCTTCCACAATGCAGGCTGCAGCCTGCTTCTTCATTTGTTAGGAGCAGGGAAGGAAATGCAGAAGCTGAGAAATGAGGGCCATGAAAGCCAGGCAGTAGGATAGAGACCCATGGGACAGCAGGGCAGTAACAAAATCATACAAAGAAGGCTGACCCACAAAATGCTATCCTGGGATCATTTCCAAGCAGTCCAAGGCCCAAAAAAGAATTGCCAACTTCAGAAAAGTGGAATGAAAATAAGTTTTGGTTGCCTTCACTCAAATCCTGTTCAGGACCTGTCTTGAACCCATCACTGTGAGGCCTTTCTCTCTCTCCCCAGCTTCTCAAACTAAAAGTTCAAGAAATACACAGCTTTTGGTAGAATGGATGGTGTAAAGAGATAAGGATGTCAAAATCTGCCTAAAAGAACACTGCCTATAACTAAACAACCTATATGGCTCTCTTTGAAACTTTCAGACCTTGCTAAAAGAAGTGGGGTGGAGGAATGAGGGCAGTAAGAAATCTGGAGTCCATTTAATCATACCTTTTTCTCTCTGAACACAATCAAGAAGAAGGCAAATTAAACAAAAGCCTGCTTTGCCAGTTTTGTTTTGTTAATAAGCTGAAACTGCTTCAGAGTGAAAGGGAAGAAAAGAAGGGATAGGAGGGAGAGGAAGAGGGGGATAGAGAGAGAAAGAGACAGAGAGAGAGGCATAACAAGTCTCACATTCCAGAAGTATCTCTTCCTCGGTGCCCCAACTGGCAACTTTGTCATATTCAGAGTGGGTGCAGATGGGGAGAAGAGGGAATGCCTAAAGAAGCTGCTCAGATTAAGGGTGGTTTGTTGGCTAGGAGTCAGAAAGACGAAGCTGGAGGAGACTGTGTTCCAGCCTTGCTATGGACACTCTCGCATATGACTGTCCATCCTGGTGGTAGGGGTTGTTCCTGTGTGCTCCCTGGGAGTTAAGTCTACAGATAGTTCCTGATGAAGCAGACAATGGTGTCCTGAGCAAAGCTCAACCAGAAGGTGACAGCAAGTAGGGGTGGGCTTCATACTCACCAGTAACTGGTCATGATGTGGAGTAACCAAAGGTATAGGAAAACCAACGTGATAACATAGAACACTTTTCATCTATTACCTCATTCATGCCTAGCAGTCACCCACCAGCTACCAGCTTGTTCTACCAGATAACCAGTAGAGTGGATGGCACAAGTCCAGGAAGGCAGCTGGGATCCAGTTGGTGGTAATCTGGAATGTCCAATGTGGGTTGATGGCTAGGTTAAGATACCAGTTTCATCTTGCAGTGGTAAAACCAAAAAAGCTTACCATAAGTACATGGGCATCAGGTACACAGCCAGCACAAAGTATGAAGCCCAGTCAGTTATTTGTGAAGATGTATCAAGATTATTTGTGGTACACAACCACTTACACTAGGAGAAGACCATGGTCACAGACAGGGTCCAAGCCATGCAAAGAAAGGCAGTATGGTACAGTATATCTATAGTATCATATGCTTGGCACTGAAGCCATAGAAGGCCATGCACTTGAAACATGTTAACACATTGCAGAAAAGCCTGAAGGCCCAGAGGAAGAATGGCACAAGCAGGTAAGCCAACAATCTTGCAACTGATTACTGAAGATTCAGAAGAACCAAAGGAAAAGATAATCCACAGTATGAAGAGAAAGCAGAGGGAAGACTACATGCTGTTGGCCAAGCATAGGTCCAAGAGGAGGTGGTAAGGAAACTTGTGCAGAAGCTTCTCACAGGAAATTAGCCAGACTGGAACCTGAAGGATCTGGAGCTCTCCACTGGCTGCCTTGGTGGGCCTCGAATTACTCTGCGGGGCCCTTCACCCATCAGGTAGTATTGTAAGGGATTGGGCCATATTTCTCCTTTGATAATCTCTGCAATTCTGTCGAATTCTAGAAGGCTGTGGTCTGAGAACCAGTTGAAGAAACTAGGGATGGTGTTCCCTTCCCGGTTTCTGTGGATATGAGCCTGGGGGTCTTGGCCTCGGTGCCAGCGGATTGGAGTGGAAAGAGACACAACCCGGCCTGAGGATCTGCGCTCATATTCCTTGACAAGCCCCTCATTTCGGAAGTAGGGATTGCTTTGAAAGATGAACTTGAATTTGCAGCCTGCTCTGGGGTGTTTAAGCTCCTCCACCTCTAAATTGATCATGTACCGCAGCATGTCTTCATCTTGGCCACTGATCATAGGTGACAGCTGGGGGTGGTTTCGAAAGGCAGTGACCCAGAAACCTGGGATATTTTGGATAATGAAACTTCTGCGCTGCATGTGGAGCCTTCGCATGCGGCCAAACTTGCGCTCAAGCTGAAGGAAGGCCCTGTCAGCCTGGGCATTTACGTTTGACAACTCTTGATCGATGGCCTCCAGTGAATCCATGCAGTTATTGATCTTAGGGGCCCTGGGCCGTGTCTCCTCTTTCACCCCTCCTGCCAGCTTTTTTTCCTTCTGCGCCGCCTTCTTTTCCTCCATCACTGCCCCTGCTTCTCCCTGCTTTTCCAATGCTGCTGAGATGGCGCACTTCCTAGTCGTCACTTCCTTGGCCTTCTTCCCCAGTATCATCTGAGACCCCAACCGCCCTGTGCCACAGGCTTCTAGAGCCTTCTGCCCAGCAGGGCCACGGGGCTCTCCAAGCTGACAGCCATTTTTCTGGCTGTTGTCAGCAGCCACGGAGGCAGAGGCTGCTTCCAGACCTTTCGTAGAAGGTGGCGCATCCTCCTGCCCGGCTTCGGTCGCCGCACCGCCGCGACTCCCGGCAACTGGGAAGCGGAGGAGGGGGCCACAGTCCACCGGATCCCGCGGTGCACCTCCCTCCGCAGCGGTCTCCAAGCTGCCCCCACCCGCCATCACCTGTGTCGCCTCGGTTTCTTCATGGAGCCCTTGGCACTGGTGTACGTCCGGATCTCCTGGGCCATGGTCGGGGGCAGCCAGGCCGCCGGTTTGGACGAGAGGGAGCTCGTTGTCCCCATCCAGGACGCTCATTTTGGTGGAAGTCAGACTAGCGAGAGAAGGAGCTTCCCTTGTCCTTCGCAGCGGCTGCCTCTGCCGGAAACGTCTAGCACCGCCCGTCTTTTACTCGCCGCGGTGCTACCATGGCAACCGGTGACGTCAGGGCGGCAGCGTCCTAACATCGCGCGAGAATTCCCTGCGCCGGTGACGACGCTTATCAATCCGCCGTATACCTTTGTCTTCTTGTCGCAGAAAGAATTTCATCAGTCTGGAAGGGGAGTTCGACGCAAGTAAATGGGTGTAGACCAGACTCAAACATGTGAGAACTGTGTTAATGTGCATTTCTAAGCCTCTGAATGAATTTCTAAGGCACCTAAGCTATTGTTTCTGAAAACGTTTACTAAAATAAGGGTTATTGTTTATTCAAGTCGTTTCGTAAGGCTGCTCATGAGTAGGAAAGTGGATTCAAGAACTCACAGGCCTTCCTTATTTAAGGTATGGATTCATGGCTATTACCAAAGAATTTAAATAAGCAGAGTTTGATTTTTAAAGAGAAGTGTTGCTGTGTTTAGTGTTATTTTTTAAATTAAGGAGCAGCTGAAAGGGAAGCTTCTCTCATTCTAACAAGACAATAAAGGAATATTTCGATTTGTCTTACAGATTTTAAAGTTTATATAATTTAGCCAACATCAACAAAACAAGCGGACAGTATTTCCTCCTTTAACTAATAAAGAGTAGCAAACTGTGACTGGCACACGAGCCCAAATTTAGGCTTTTAAGCGTTACCGAAAGAAATATTATCTCAGGAGATTTTAATATCTAATGCACATTATACGTTCTTTTCCTCAGGTTACAGTATTAATCTAAAAGTGGTTCCTGCTTCATAATGCTTGTGGGCATGAAGCCAGCAAATTTTTGCCAAAATGTGTTTATATTGTAATTCACTGCAGCACAGGAGCAATAATGTGCCTATGCAGGCATCTATGCTCTTGTATCTTAAAATATTTTCTCTGAAAGTAAGGTTGGTTATTGTCTATTCGAGTCAGTTAGCTCATACAACTCCTTTGATAGTGATTATCACTACTATATATTAGTTTTTTGGAGTGTGAAAATAATGGTGTTAATCGTTAGAAAAATGCAAGACCAAAGGGAAGTTAAATTTTGCGCATAATGTCTTAAATTTGTGTTTGAATAAACAGTTATGATTATAACTCTTTGTAAAAGAAACTCCATTTTGAGAACCCCAGATTATGATGACTTTCAAATACAGGCTAGGAAGTACAGATTTAGAGAAAAAGGATTTAGAGAAATGCAGCATCCTGAGACTTCTCATGAGGAAAGAAATATAGTTCTGGTTCAACTAAGAGTAAAATAGGATGAAAGGTCACTAGCAGACAGTACAGATAAACAGACTGCCTTGCCTAGACAGCCTACCCAAGGACAATGTGTCAAGAATGAACTCTTTACTGCCTGCCAGCTAATCGGTTATTTCATAAGAAACATGCAAACAAGACTCACACACGGAGAGCAATTATTTTTCTCTCTCCTCTTTGTCTTAATAAACGCTCTTTTTGTGTTTGTGAGATTAAATCAATCTATTGATGCATCGTCTTTGTAAACAAGTAAACAGTGTGCTGTAATTGACTTTGTGACTCTGAGTTATTGGCAGTGCTCTGTTTCTATTCCAAAGAATCTTTGCACTGTTGAAGTATAACTCTTTCTCCATTATAACCTGAGCCAAGGTGAAGAGAAGCAGTGAATACTGAATGAAAGTTACTTTTCTATGCAGGAGGAAAAAGTAAGTTGGCTATTATATAAATTTATATAAAATTTTAAAATTACACGTGAACTTCTTTTTCTTTTTGTGTATGCCAAATTTTTTTAAAGATTTGTATCTCTCTGACTCAAAGCATCCCCATCTCTAGCTTTTATTAGTCCTATTACCTGAATCATTTTTCACTCATAACCAGCTGACCATTCTTTAAAACTCAGTTCATGTAGATTGTACTAGGCATTTTAAATACATTACATTTTATAAACAAAGACACAGCAAGCACAGAGAAGTTAACATCCCCGTGGTCACATATATATTGATATTAATTGGCAAATTGCCTCCTCCCATCTTAATTACTTTACCTCCTTCCTTACTTTGCCATTTTGACAGTCCTCTGAATTTCTGTATAGCCCTTATGACATATACCATACAACTTAGTACAGTCATGTATCACTTAATGACAGGGATTTTGTCATTATGGAAATACCATATAGTACATCTATCAAACCTAGCTGCAAGAGCCTACTACACAATTAAGCTAAATAGTATATCATGTTGCTCCTAGGCCACAATCCTGAACGGCATGTTACTGTACTGAATACTGCAGGCACTTGTAACATAGTAGTAAGTATTTGTGTATCTAAACATAGGAAAGATACAGCAAAAATAGAGTATTATGATTTTATGGTCTCACACATGTATATTCAGTTCGTCTTTGACCAAAATGTTATGCAACAAATGACTGTAGTTATTTATCCTCTGCTTTTTAAACTTCTTCGTTGTTTTAAGGTCATTTTCATCCCAGATAGATAACGATTACCTCATAGCAGCTTCTGTAGCATCTATGATAGTATAGCCCAGTTACTATCTCATAGAATGTTTTAATGAATCTTATTTAAGTGAAAATTTAAATTTAAATAAAACTTTTAAAAGATTTTTACCAAAATGAATAGTATGACTATCCCTGTGTTTCATTTTGAGGTGGGTGGATATCTATAGTAGCTGTAAGTTATATTTTACATTTTTTGCACATTTGAATAATATATATTTTGTATACAGTAAAGTCTGTTCTACTGGAAATTGGCAATAAACCTTACTACACAGAAAAAGATACATCAGTGACTTATGATTCTATGGAAAAATTTCCATAGAAAATGACATGAAAATTTATGAGGTAATTTTTACTTGCAAGGAGATATTTAATGGAAGTTCAAACATAAATTAATAGTCAAACAGGAATGACTTTACTAAAGTATACAGTAAAGGTTGGAAAATCTGTGAAATATCTCCTATTGCTACACCCTTGACCAGCAGTTTCTTTTTCAGAATGATATAGTTTCTGGTTCATAATAGCTTACATTCATTTAGTGTTTTCTACATGCCATATACTTGTATGCATTTAAATGTGTATCTCATTTAATTTTCACAAAGACCCTGTGAGGTGATATTATGACCTCCACTTCACTTTGCCTCAGCAGGAATTGAGGCAATGAGAAATGAAGTGGTTTATCCAAGATCACACAGCAAGTGGTGGAGCCACAATTGGAGTGAGGTAATCTGACTGGAGAGCCTGTGCACTCATTCATTGTACTATTCTGCAATCCTACACAACCTATAATATGAAAATCTGCCTTCTTAGAAATAAGACTATATGACCATCCCAATTTAATGTTGAACTTTCTTCTTTATCTTCTTTTCCTTTACCTGTCTTAGTCCATTCAGGCTGCTGTAACAAAATACCATAGAGTGGGTGGCTTGTAAACAGTAAGTTACTTCTCACAGTTCTGAAGGCTAGGAATTCCAAGATCAAGACACCAGAAGATTTGGTGTCTGGTGAGGATCTGCATCCTGGTTCTTAGACAGTAGTTTCTTTTTGTGTGTGTTTTGTTTTTGCTTTGTCCTTACATGGAAAAAGGAGGGAGGGATATCTCTGGGGCTTCTTTTATAATGGCACTAATCCCATTAGGGCTCTAACCTGAGGTACTGATTGACTCCTGGATGACCCCACCTCCAAACACTCTCACATAGGCTTCAACATAATTTGGAAAGGACAAAAGCATTTAGTCTATAGCCTGCCCCCATCCATAAAATTAGTGACAGTTGTTGAGGAAGTGCCCAATTACTAAAGTAAAACAAGAATTCATGATTCTGTTTCAATACCTTAATTGTTCTCAATTTATCAGATACATTTATTTTTCCTTTTATTTTTATTTTATTTTATTTTTAGACAGAGTCTCACTGTGTCACACCCAGGCTGGAGTGCAATAGCACGATCTTGGTTCACTGCAACCTCCACCTCCTGAGTTCAAGCAATTCTCCTGCTTCAGTCTTCCAAGTTGCTGGGATTACAGGCGCTTTCCACCACGCCTGGTTATTGTGTGTGTTTTATTGTTGTTGTTGTTTGTTTGTTTGTTTTCGGTAGAGATGGGGTTTTGCCATATTGGCTAGGCTGGCCTCACACTCCTGACCTCAGGTGATCTGCACTCCTCAGCCTGCCAAACTGCTGGGATTACATGCATGAGTCACTGGGCCCAGCCAGATCTAACATTTCTTTTTATAACATGTTTTATAACTCCCTTTTTCTTTCTTGAAATTCGTATTGTATATCATCATGCGTATTTTTTAAAGTCATTGTAATAACTTGGTTGTAATTTAAGGGAGAAATAAAAGGAAAGTAATTTTTTAAATATTTTAAAATATAAATGCATTGACATGCCAACACTTTGTGTCATGATAAATTAGATTCTTATCTGACTGTCCAGTCTTCAAGTTCTGAGAGTATTTCTTTCACTTGGTCTATTCTGATATTAATACCCATGAATGCATTATGAAATCCTTGTAGTGTGTTTCTCAGTTCTGTCAGGTCAGTTACATTCTTTCCTATACTGGCTATTTTGTCTGTCAGCTCTTGCATTGTTTTATCATGATGTTTAGCTTCCTTGAATTGGGTTTCAGTGTACTCCTGTAGCTGAATGGTCTTCATTTCTATCCATAGTCTGAATTCTATTACTGTCATTTAAGCCATCTCAGTCTAGTTCAGAACCCTTACTGGGGAGGTGATCCCATCATTTGGAGGAAAGAAGACACTTTGCTTTTTGAGTTGTCACAGTTCTTGTGCTGATTTTTTTCTCATCTTTGTGGGCTTACATTCCTTTAATCTTTGAGGTTGCTGATCTTTGGATGGTTTTTCTTTTATCTTATTTGACGACTTTGAGCGTTTGTGGTATAAGGTGGACTCAACCAACTGACTTTGTTTCTGGAAGATTTTTACAGGGCCAGCCCTCAGCTCCCAAGTCCTACACTTCATGCCTTAATTTTGAGGGACTTGAATGAGGCCCTGACTTTGTTTTCTGGCTCCTTAAGGTTAGAAATTTGCTGTGTTGG